ACTGGCCCCTGCCACAACGCCCAGCTATTTTTTTTTTTTTTTAGTTGTAGTTGTCATTGTTGTTTGGCAGGCCTGGGCTGGATTCAAACCCGCCAACTCTGGGGTATGTGGCTGGCACTCTAGCTGCTTGAGCTACAGCGCTGAGCCAACACCCAGCTATTTTTAGAGACAGGGTCTTGCTCTTGCTTAGGCTGGTCTCAAACTCCTAAGTTTAAGCAATCTATAGGCCCCAGCTTCCCAGAATGCTTGATTCCAGACTACTGATCTCCAGAACAAACTAACATGGATTTGTGTTGTTTTGATCTACTCAGCAGCCATGGGAGAGGAATGCAGATAAGCCTGGGCTGAGCTGTGTGCTACAGGTGAGGGATGAGGCTGGCTGGGTGACTTCTCCCTAGACTCCTTCCTGTCCCTGTGGCTTGGATCACTTCACCTGGAGGATTCTCCCTGGCCACCACCTCCTCCCCTACTCAGTCTGGGCTGAGCCTTACCTCCATGGAGGCCTCTCTGGAAGTCCAGCCTGCTGCCCTGGCCCATGCATCCCTCCTGCAGGGAAACCGCTCCCTGGGGACCAAGTGCTCATCTGTGCTGGTCTGGGCTCCTAACTACAGTGCTGGCATCTGGAGGTCCCAGACTGACCACAGGGCTCTCAGTGGCCCTTGAGGGGCTGGCAAAGGGCTGTGTGCCCAGCAGGAGCACAGTGAGCATACAGGATGAACAGAAGAATGAATCTGGGACCAGGCTGGAGCTGAGTGGGTTGACCCTGGCTGGTGTTAGGATTAGATATCAAGCCTGTTTTGGATTAGAATGTTCTTTTAGGTAAATAAATGAGCAAGAACAGTAAACTGTTCAAGGTCTAGCCACGGGCAGGTTTCTGGTTGATTTCTAATACAGATAGTCCCTGACTTATGATGGTCTAACTTCGATTTTTTGACTTTACAATGGTGCAAAACCATTCCTTTTTCAATATAATGTACGGTATTCAATAAATTACATGAAACATTTAATACCTTATTATAAAATAGGTTTTGTGTTGGATGATTTTGCCCAATTGTAGGCTAATATAAGTGTTCAGAGCACATTTAAAGTAAGTGAGCTGGGTGGTGCCTGTGGCTCAAAAGGGTAGGGTGCTAGTCCCATATGCTGGAAGTGGTGGGTTCAAACCTGGCTCCGGCCAGAAACTGAAAAAAAAAAAAGATAAAATAAAATAAAATAAATAAAGTAAGTGAGCTAAGCCATGACGTTCAGCAGGGAGGAGTATTACATTCATTTTGATTTGGGTTATTTTCAATGTATGGTGGGTTTGTCAGGGCATAACCCCTCTGTAAGTTGAGGAGCACCTATACTTTGTCACCCTCCAGCAAGATAAAGCAACTAATACTGTCATGATTCAACATGATTCAAGTCCCGCTGCGTGGGTGTGGGAAATGAACGAGCCATCAGAGGAGAAGACCACCTCTCTGGGGTGACATCCTGGGGAAAGGTCAGTGAATGATGGGACAGAGCCAAGAGCATGAGGTGGTAGATGCCATTGTCCTGGCCTCTCCACCAAGTGCCCTCCCAGCAAGCAGCCCTCATCTGCTTGTTTCTCCAGGTTGCCACAGGGACCAAGGAGGTGGGGCAGAGCCTGGCCCAAAGTCGGGGCTCATTAAATATTAGCCCTTGTTGTTGTGACCCTGCTCAGTGATCCCTGCAGCCCAGCCTTGCCCCTCCCAACAGATCTGAGGCAGGGCAGGGTGGGGGAGGTAATCTGGAATAGCAAGCCCCTCTAGGGGACGAGGCATCCCACCCAGGGAGAATGGGGGGTTCCAGATGGTGTCCTGACCTCCTGGAAACAGGATGAGGGCTTACAATGGGGTCAAATAGTGGTCCCCCAAAAGACCTGTCTCCTACAGCCTGTGAATGTGACCTTATTGGGGATAAAGGTCTTTGCAGGTGTAATTTAGTTAAGGATTTTGAGAGGAGATCACCCTCAGTTAGTTTGGGCACTGAATCCAAAGACAAATGTCCTGATAAGAAGAAAGGAGGGCTGGGCATGGGGGCTAATCACTGTAATCCTGACACTTTGGAAAGCCGTGGCAAGAGGGTCACTTGAGCCCAGGAGTTTGAGATCAGCTTGAGCAAGAGTGAGACTTTGCCTCTACTAAAAGTAAAATAGAAAAAAAAAATTAGCTGGGCATTGTGGCAGACACAAACTGTCTCCTAGTTATTTGGGAGGCTGAGACAGGAGGATTGCTTGAGCCCAAGAGTTTGAGGCTGCAGGGAGCTGTGATTGCGCCACCACACTGTAGCCTGGATCATACAGCAATAACCTTCATCAAAAAAAAAAAAAGAGAGAGAGAGAGAGAGAGAGGAGAAGACACATGGAGGAGATGACCCTGCAATGGGTCAGAGGCAGAAAGTGAAGTGGCCGCAAGCCAAGGAACACCAGCAGCCCCCAGAAGCTGGAAGAGGCACTGCAGGATCCTCCTCCAGAGCCTATGGAGGGAGCACAGCCCTGTGCACCTTCATTTAGGACTTATAGCTTCTAAAACCAAATAAATTTGTTTTAAGCCACCCAGTTGACCACTTCCTTCTTTGCCCAGCACATCCAATCTTTTGGAAAAACAACCCTCTTTTCCTTTCTCACGTGTCTGGAGTTTCATCCTCAAGTCATTGGGTAAAAGGGTTGAAGAGGAAGAATTTCTGCGGGTGGCACTCAGCTCTCCAGGTGCCTTGTGGCTATCAGGCCACTCCTGACCAGGTGTGTGCAGCTCCCACCTGAGACACAGTTAAGAACCCCTCTCCTCAGGGGGGAAACCCCACAGGAGTGTGCAGAGAAAGCTCCCCTTGTATACTGCGAGCCCAGGATGGAATGTAGGATCCTTGAATTTCAGGTAGGAGGCAGCTGGAGCAGAGGCTTCCACACTACAATGACTGCAGCAACTGTTCCAAGTGACCAGGTCTCCTGCTTACTCAGCCATTCAGGGTCTGGTCCCCTCCAGCCTTCTTCTCCTCACCCTGACCCCATCCCAAGCTCGGTCTACCACAGGGCCTTTGTACCTACTCTCCCCTCCACCAGAGCCAGCCTCCTCTCATCGAGCCATCAGCCCTCTCCAGGGCAGCTATGTAGTCCCTGCCCCAAGGACTTACATCCCTGTCACCACTCTCCCACCACCAACCCACCATTCCTTCTCCAGGGAGACCAGCCGCCCCCTCCCTGGACCAGCTCTCCCTTCAGGCTGCTATTTATCACTTTGTAACAACCTTTTCTGATCCTTGGCCCCCTCGTGGTATGTGGATGATGGGGGTAAACCCATCTCTTTTGCTTCTTACAGTCTCCTGGCGCCTGGTGTGACAAACGGCAGAGACTCCATTTTTCTGAGTGAGTGTGTGAGAGCTCCCCGATCAGGGACAATGCCAACTCTGGGCCCCACCTACAACCTTGGTCCTTGCTGAACTAGGACCCTGGGAGGTGCCCAGAGAGCCTAGCACCCCTCACCTGCCTGCTCCTTGTCCACGGTGGCTAAGGGTCGAGCCCCACTCTGGGTGTTCATTCGGCCTTTGTACAGGATCCCGTCCACTCCCAGGATGTCCACCTCAGCCTGTTGGATGGCCCAGGTCCCGGGTCAAGGACCTGCCAACCCTCTCTAGTGCACACAGAGGCCAAAAGACAGGGCACAGCCTCCCCCGGGGGCACCCATGCTCAGGGCCTGTTCCACACTTGGGACTGGGGTGCACCAAAGTCCACCCTCCACAAAGGAGGCCCCAGCCAGACTCACAGTGTCATAATCGATTAGTTTAGGGTCCCCATAGGGGTAGAGTGTCGACAGGTTGCATGACTTGTGCTTCAGGTTGGCATCGTTACGGGGGCCATCACCCCAGTCCTGATGGGAGCGCAGGGTGTCCAGGGCCTGGAGGTGCAGCTGATGTTGTTCCCTAGGGCGGGGCAGTGGGTCAGCAGCCCCCTAGACCCACCCATCCCCACCATCCCTGTGCAGCCTCAGGATGAACACCCTGAAAAAATTGACATTTCTTCTGGCTTTAGTTGAAGTGGCACAGCCAGACAGGCCTGGGGCTGCTGAGGGACACAGACACTCATATTGGGCAAAGGAATAAAATTGAGCTGCCTTCCCCGGACCCAGCCATAACTGGAGCCCCAACCTGGCATGCCAGGTTCACACACCCAATCCCTTGATCTCAAGGAGCCAAAGGAGGATGGGTGAGAGGTCAGCACGGTGGTCATTGTGACTATCCAGTTGCTTTGCCTCCACATGGTCAGGCGTCCTGCAGCTGGAGTAGGCTCTGGAAACACCCATAGAGCCATGGGATGTCAGGAAATTGAGAGGTGGTGCCAGGACCCAGGGAGATAGCTGGGTGTGTAGGAACCTGAGGGTTTGACAACAACTCTGCATGTACTAGCTGTGACCTTGAGTAGGTTGTCTAAGTTCCCAGAGCCTCAGTTTCTCCAGCTGTGAAATGGGATGGCAATAGAGGAAAGTGATAAGGACCCAGCAAGGCCAGGGAAGCCAAAGTACCTGAATAGGATTTGCCTTTTTCCTCCACCACAAATGGCACATTAGGCCTACCTCGTGGGGGCTGGAAGGTTTAAAGGAGAAATCCTCTTGGCCCATATAGATGCCCAGTAAATATGTCAGTCACCTCTCCTATGCTTGTCTGTCCAGGAGATGACATCTCCCCATGGATAGTTGGTAATATTCTGGGGACAGCTTTTGGCCCAGGACTGCAGGACATATCTCTTCGATAACAGGTTCCCAGGCTTCCCAGGCTCCAGAGTGGCCTCCACGGAGTGGGTCCCAGCCTGCTTACCTTATCTGTTGCCGCTGCAAGTACTCGTAGGTATTGGCGCTGGCTGGGCGCAGCTGCGACTGAAGATTGGCTTTGCGGATAGTGACCAGCTGTCTGTTGGGGAGGAGAGTGCAATAGGGGCTGTAGGAGGCACAGGTGTCCAGCAGAGGACTTGGGCTCTCCCCCTCCAGGAGGCCTTCCCAGTAGGAGGAAGGACCAGGTTGCTTACCCACCAGAAACCTCCACTGCACAGGGTCACTGTTCAAGAGCTCCGGGGGAGCCCTGATAACTATCATATAAAGGTAAAACCAGAATAATAAATTCTAGAAACAGGACAGAGACCAGTGGTTACCAGGGCCTTGAGGGGAGGGAGGACTGGTAGAAACTGCTTAACGGGGTCAAGGTTTCCTTTTAGGGGGATGAAAATGCCCTGATGGTAGACATAGGTGGTGACTGTACAACATGTGAACGTACTGAATACTGCTGAACTGCTCACTTTAAGATGGTTAATTTTATGTCATGTGTATTTTGCCTCAATATAGAAATAAAAACAAAGTAAAACAACAGTCTTCTTGGGGAGCTGGAACTCTTCTACATCTTGATCTGAGCAGTGGATGTGCAGGTGTATATGCATGTAAAAACTCATCAGACTGCAAAATAAACATTTACGTACCTTTATGTATGTTAAGCCACAATAAAAATGTTCAGTAATACATATTGATTGTCAACATTTTAGAAAGTATACAAAGGCACAAAGGAACAAAGCACTATAATCACACGACAAAGATTTTGATAAGCATCCTTGAAGTATTTTTCCAACTTTGTGTAATTTTATTTTTTTTTGGAAACAGAGTCTCAGTCTAATACCCTGAGTAGAGTGCTGTGGCATCATAGCTCATAGCAACCTTGAGCTCTTTGGCTTAAGTGATTCTCTTGTCTCAGCCTCATCCTCCCAAGCAGCAGGGACTACAGACACTGGTCACAACACCTGGCTATTTTTCAGAGATGGGGTCTTGTGCTTGCTCAGGCTTGTCTCTAACTCCTGAGCCAGAGTGCTAGGATTACAGGTGTGAGCTACCACTCAAAGCCCCCAAATTCATGTAATTTCTTTTTTTTTTTTAAATTGAGACAGAGTCTCACTTTCTCACCCTCTATAGAGGGCTATGGTGTTATAGCTCACAGCAACCTCAAACTCTTGGGCTTAAGCCATTCTCTTGCCTCAGCCTCCCAAGTAGCTAGGACTACAGGTGCCCACCAAAATACCCAGCTATTTTTTTGTTTGTTAGCAGGCCGGGACTGGGTTCGAACCCACCAGCCCCACTGCATGTGGTCGGCGCCCTAACCACTGAGCGATGAGTGCCCAGCCCAAGTTCATGTAATTTTTTAACATACTACTTGATATTCTCATTTAATTTATTGCAAACATTTTCCCAGTTCACTAAATAGTCTTCCCCAACTGCTATAGCTAATACAGTAGCCATAGCCACATGTGTCTATAGAAATTTATAACTACATTTAAATGCAATTTAAAATTCACTTTCTCAGTCAATTTAGCCATATTTTCAAGTGCTCAACAGCCACAGGGGCTCCTGCACTGAATAGCACAGCTATAGACCATGTCCCCATCACAGAGCTTTCTACTGGACAGTGTTTTTCTGAAACATGGTTTATATTGGCTGAGATAAATATATCACAACTCATTTACCACCATGGTTGTTTCCAATTTTTTTACTATTATAAATAATGCGGCAGCTAGATATGTGTGGTTTGAAAGGAAAATTCTGGTTGAAGCCCCTCTATGAACATGAACTGACACAGGGAGGTGACAAGCTTTGTGGGCCATCAGGGCAAGGCTAACAGGAGAGGCCCTTCAAGGTCCTGGTGTCAGGAGAGGTTACTGTCTGGCAGTTCCTCAAAAAGTTAACGATGTAGTTACCACATGACCCAGCACTTCCATTCCTAAGTTTATCCCCAAAAGAATTGAAAACAGGCAAACAAGCACACATATACAAATATTAGAGCAGCACGAGTCACAATAACTAAAAGGTAAAAACAAACCACTGTCCTTTGGCTGATGAATGGATAAACTAAATGTGGTCTATCCATACAATAGGATACTGCTCAGCCATAAAATGGAACAAAGCACTGACCATGCTACAACATGGGTGAATGTGGGGGATACTATGCTCAGTGATAAAAAACAGATACAAAAGGTCACATATTGTATGATTCTACTTATATGAACATCCAGAATGTGCAAATCCATAAAGATAAAAAGCAGATCAGTAGTTGCCAGGGACTGTGGGTAAGTGTTTATGGGGAGTGATTGACAAAGCATCTGGGGTTTCCTTTTGGGGGGATCAAACAGAGTTTTGGACTTAGATAGAGGCAAAAGGCGCACAACAATGTGAATGTGCTAAACGTTACTGGATTACTCACTTAATTTTTTTAAGAGACAAGGTCTTTCTCTCTGTCACCTAGGTTGGAGTGCAGTGGTGCAATCACAGCTTACAGCAGCCTTGAGCTCCTGGGCTCAACTGACCCTCTTGCCTCAGCCTCCTGAGTAGTTGGGACTATAGGTGCATGACACAATGCCAGGGAGAATTGTGCATTTAAAAATAGTTTATTTTAGGTTGGGCACAGTGGCTCATGCCTATAATCCCAACATTCTGGGAGGCCAGGATGGGCGGATCAGCTAAGCTCAGAAGTTCAACACCGGCCTGAGCTACAGTGAGACCCTGTCTCTAAAAATAGCCAGGCATTGTGGTGGACACCTATAGTCCCAGCTACGTGGGAGGCTGAGGTAAGAGAATTGCTTGAGCCCAAGAGTCTGAGGTTGCTTCGAACTATGACTTCACTTTACTCTACCGGGGATGACAAAGTGAGACTCTGTCTCAAAAAAAAAGAAAAGTCTATTTCGTTATATGAATTTCACCTCAATACATTTTAAAAATAGTATTAGACTTCTATAAAAATAAGTGCAAGGAAGTACAGCAAAGTTTTGCATTTCCTTACAATGGTTCCTTCTATTCTGTTGCTGCTGTTGTTGGAAGATTTACCTCAATCCCTACCCAGCACTAGATAAGGCTGATGAAGAAAGGAAGGACGATGTACGGTCACCCAGGCAATCACTCAGTGGCCAGAGGGGGAGCACATATGATCCCTATAGAATCCCTATGAACATAGATGTGTATATACTCAACAAGTGGATGTGGATGCGGACATACTTGAAGGTTGAAAAATGGTACACCTGGATGCGTACACACATGTTGTACACACGCACTGTACACGCGTGGTACACATGGTACACGTGGATGCTTACACACCTGACGGGCATAGAGCTCCCCCAACCCCAGCGGCTGTGCGCACAGGTGTGCGGCCCCCAGGAGCCGGCGGCGGGCGCCCCCTGGCGTTAGTACTCACGGGCCGGTCATCATCTCCACCCGCCGGTCGCAGGAAATGCACTTTACCCGCTCGAACAGCTTCCTGCAAGACACGGGTAGGTCAGGACCCCGCCCTGTCCGCGGGCTGGAGTCCCTCGTCCAGAATCCCGGGAGGCGCTCCTGTGTCCTCTGGCCTCGCAGCTGCAGTCCTACCCAGGGCCCCGGAGGCCGCCAACTCACTTCCGGAAGGCTGCAGCGCTGTCGGGGTCGTATCGGAGACCTTCGGTCAGCAGCCTCCGGACTATTTTCCAGACCTCTTGGATTTCTTTCTTCAGAGGGTCCAGGTCACTGCGGATTAGCTGCCAACAGCCAAAGGGGAAAAAAAGAAAACCTAGGCAATTAATTCACAACCTGCCTCCTTTCAGAAAAGCATTTGCGGCAACCCGCAAAGTTACATAGAATACAAGTTGTTTTTTTTGTTTTGTTTTTTGTTTTTGAGACGGAGCCTCAAGCTATCCCCCCCTGGGTAGAGTGCCATGGCATCACGCTCACAGCAACCTCCAACCCCTGGGCTCAAGCGAGTCTCCTGCCTCAGCCTCCCAAGTAGCTGGGGCCCACGGCCCCCCGCCACAAC